TTGGTCCTGCCAAGGCAGGGGGCTGTCGGAGGAGCTGTGGGGCATGGCTTCGTTATCTGGGGAGAGATGTTTGTGGCATCTGCAAGGCCACACACATGCAGCACTAGGGTTATACCTTGATTCTGCAGAAACAAGCAGTGGGGCCCGTCTCTTCTGCAGTCAAATTGGGGAATGCCTGACCTGCAGAACAGAGTGGTGTGTGCACTATTACTTGCATTTCACAGTGGCTAGAGTCCACAGCGAAGAGCACAGCCCTGTTATGCTAGTGCAGTGCAAACATGTAGGAAGACATTCTCTGCCCTGAAGAGCTAACATTCTAAATAGGCAAGACAGACCAAGGGTGGGGAAGGGAAACTGAGGTACAGGGCGGTGAAGTGACATACTCTAGGTCATGCAGTGGGTCAGTGGCAGAGCTAGGAAATGGCCTGAGCCCTAGGCCTGTGCCGGCTCCACTAGGCTACAGTACCTCCCTACTCATTATAGCTATGTGCTGATCTGCTCCCACCTGAGCTAGCCGAGGCTACCCTGGTGTTTTCTGTAGACTTGTGCAGGGAGACTGGGGAACTGCTATAGTCCTGGTGCAGAGGAGAATCTGGCCAGTTGGCTCATTGCTGAATAGTCGAGGACTGCAGGCGTAGGTGGTTGCTGGTGCTTGAAGCCCTCCATGCCGCCCAGATGAGCTTTGCACAGCTCCTGCCATCTTACCCGAAAGGAAACATTTTTTTGCTTCACCCAACAAAGCTGCCATCTGCAGCCATTAAGGTCCTGGTTCAGGTGCTTACCTGTGCAATAGACAGGGCTTCTACCATTAGAGTCTGCCAGTTGCAGAGAGCCAGTTGTATCGTGAGAACTGAGACGTGGGGTTTTCTTTCCCAGCTGTGTCACTGACATAGATGACCTGTGCAGCATCACACGCCTCCTTTGCGCTTCTGTTCCCCATCTTTCAACTGGCAAGTTATTGGAGTTCTGTGGGTGGGAAAATCTGCACAGTCAGTGGGCAGTGGGATTAATTCGTTGTTGCCACCTGGCAAACATCCATGACATGCAGTCTTGTGAATCCCCATCTTGCAGCGCTCTGGGCGCTATCTGGCTGGCAGCGAAAAGCAACCACATCTATGACAGAGGCTAAGCCTACTTGGGTTTGCTGGAGAGTGAACTTCCCCTGCTTTTATTGAGAGTCCATGTATTTCACTGACTCAGTATTTTAACATGTCCTGCAGGAGGTCTGATTTGCCAATAGGATTGCTGTATTTCCCTAGCTTGGCACTTGCAAATTTCCTATGAAGAGCATGTCACTTAACACACCTTTCTTTTTTCTGACCATGCCAAAAATGAAGTCTTCCAGAGTAAATAAAGTCTAAATGGAGCATGGGGGGAACAAGATTCCCTTGGCAACTGTCACTTGTGATTTCTGCGAAGGGCTAACATACTTAATGACAACTGCTTTGTCCATGTTTTGTGTTAAATACCTGTACAGATTTAACATTTTTTCCAGTGAGGGCCTTGGATAGATTTTCACTTGTCTTTTGCACCTTACATTAAATAATGATCTCAAATTAATTGGCATCTGACATATTTGTAAAGGCTAGTTTGGACATTTTCCGTGGGTATGTTTGTAGCAAATATTTGGGCTTTTCCCCATGGCTAATCCTCCTCCTTCCAAGGTAAAAAAGTCCAGTATAGACAAAGCCACAAAGAACCAGCTCTCCTATGACCAAGACCCACATGAAGCTCCTTGTAGGATGGGAGCCTTTAATAACAGAGCTTCCTTTAATGTAGCCAAATGCAAAATGATACCCTAAAGAATGCAGGCCAGACCTACAGAATGGTGGACGCGACCCTGGAAGGCAGCGGCCCTGAAGGAGAGTTAGGGGTCATAGGGACAGACAAGCAACTCAACATGAGCTCCTAGTGCAATGTGGTGGCTAAAAGGGCTAATGGGGCCCTTGATCAAGGGGGTAGGAGTAGCAAGGTGACTGGACTTCTGCATTCATCACCAAGGAGACAGACTAGGACACTGCATCCTGTGCTGCTGTCCGCGTTCTACGAAGGATGTTGAAATCATTAGAGAGAGTGCAGAAAAGAGCCACAGGAAGGATTTGAGGCCTGGAGATGATGTCTTCTGGGGAAACTTTAAGAGCTCAGTCTCTTTGGCTTATCGGATTGAGCAGTGTCTTGAGTACAGTGTTTAACCACCTCCACAGGGAGAAATTAGATATTAAAGGGCTCTTTAACTGAGAGCGTGGCTGGCACTGAAAACTGGACCCACTCAAATGGAGACTGCGGCTCCACTTTAACCTGTAACGTGCTGGTTTTGGCACAGGGTGTGTAATGATTGGAACAACCGCCCCAGGGATTCCCTGTGTCTGTCGTTAACTCAAACCCCAGCCCCGTTCTGGTGGATGTGCTTTAACCCTTAACGGGGGCTTGGGGGGTAATGTTACGGGCTGTGGCAGACAGGAGAGGAGTAGATTATCTGACAGTGTGTGATAGACTGAGACAGGGCAGGAGTGCTGTAAAGCTTGATATGGAAAGGTAACTGTGTCTCCACCCACATGGCTTAGAACAGGGGTTTAAGACTCCCAGCCCACAGGCCAGCCCTGGCTGGTACAGTTGTGCAATCTGGCCTGGGAATCCCAGCGGGCCAGGGGAGGCCTGTCCACTCATGTACCCCCCAGCCCTGCTGCTTCCTGTCACTGCCAGCCCTCTCTCCCAGCCTGGCACCCTGTCCCCGAGGGGCACACCCTCAGGAATTATGGGGGGGGGGGAGGGCTGGTGCAGGGTGGGTCCCATGCTCTCCGTGGCAGTGGGAGGCATGGCATGCCTTCAAGTGCGCTCCTCTTCCCTGCTGCTCCTGCTGTCACAGGGACTGTGAAGGGGTCCAGTGCTGCCCCGCCCTGCACCGGGGGAAATCCCCAAAGCCGCATCTTCAGGGGATGGAGTGCCATGGGGGGGAGGGGGGGGGGAGTGAGGAGAGGGCAGGGCAGTGGCAGACACGGGCAGGCCCTGGGAATGGACAGCCCTCTCCCGGGCCCTCTGGGACTCACAGGCCTGATTGTGCATCTGCTGTGGCAGGAGATGGCCCACAGGCTGGGAGATCGAAAACCCTGATTTAGAATATTGCAGTAAGAAAGTTAGTGCTAATGAGCCTCTTGCAAATGAATGAATTTAATCGCCCAGCCTCTTCTGGGAAGTAGGTCAGTATTATCCCTGCTTTACGTCTAGGTAAACTGAGGCATCAGGCTGAGGCACTTATGCCATCAGGCTGTGGCAGAGCTGGGAGAAGTCTCAGTTCACTGTCTCGAACTGTAAGCCTCTTCATGCTTGTCTCCTCCCATCCAGTCCTTCTGATTTTTTTTTCCCCCATCATTTCATTGTTGAGTGAAACCTTCTATCTTGTCTTGCATCATGCGACCCTTGGAATCATTGTGTTGCTGCCTGTGTTACTTCACATCATCCTGGTATGAACACATTGTTTTTTATGACCGGGGGCGGGGGGAAGTGGGGGAAGGGAAACTGCTGTAGGTGACATACAAAAATATAACATTGAATCTGTTGCTGAGGGAAAATCATCATATGTTTTGAAACATTTGAGATACCCCTGCATTTGTTATGAGATCCTCTTCTCAACAAGGAAGCCTAACAAAGTGTTCAAGTTGCGGTGGGGGAGGTCTAGGTTGGATATTAGAAAAAAGCCCTGGCTGGGATGATTGAGTTGGGGTTGGTCCTGCTTTGGGCAGAGGGTTGGACTTGATGACCTCCTGAGGGCTCTGCCAGCCCTGGGAATCTATAATTGGGGACTGGGAATAGATAGCCCTCCCCCTGGCTCTATCAATTAAAGTTTGGGGGGAGGGGGAAGGAATTTTGGGGACATTTTTTGTAATTTTTTCCTGTAAAAATCAGTTTTCATACAAACTATAGTTGAAAAATTTAAATCCAGAGCTTTTAAGCTGAGTAGTTTGATATTAAAAGATGAGGGGGACGCAGTTATATGGCCTTAATCCTGGACAAGTAAGCAACTGAGCCTCACACCCAGACTGAAGTCATGTGGAGGCATGTCCTCACCAAGCTAAATTTGAGGAATACTTTATCGTTCTCCCCAGATGTTACACTTTGTGGGATCAAAAGCCTAAAATCTCTCCCAGCTGTAGGGTGGGCAAGTAAACAGTGAATTGAAAAGGAGGGTGCCAGAAGTTCTCTGCTATGTCCAACAGTGGAAACTGTCCTTTAACTACATTACAGATGAATGAGAAGCCAGATGAAACCTGGAAAGATTTTTGTTATGTCAGAAAGGAAGCACGCTTCTGCCTCTGATCCAAAAGTTCAGCCCGAGCCCACTTGTCTTCTGTTGTGTTCATGTGTATGTATCTGTCCGCTATAAAACCAGAGCGTGTCTAGGGAAGGAATTCACCCCATGGGGGAGATCCGCAAAAGTGGGCTGGCCCTTTGCACAGGGATGAATTTCCACTCCGGTTATCTGGCCCGATTACGTCGTCTGCAATACGAACATTACTTGGTTGTGTTGGAAAGTTTAAAAAGTGCAGTAGATGAGACACCCGCAACAGTGACACTCCCTGATGTGTGACACAGCAAACCCCTGTGTTGGTTGGTGACTTGGAGCCTTGGGAAATGTTGCTGTCAGGTGTGTTGTAACAGTGTGTCTGTCTCCTTACTAGGTCTGCAGTGAAACCAAGTACCTTACCTGCTATTCAGATTACCGAAGCTGAGGCCCCCGCAGATGCTGATGGCTCAGAGAGTGGACCAGGTGAGACCAGGATGGTGCATTTCCTGAATATGCTGCTCTCTTTCAGTAAACCAAAGGGGAGAGCCCTCTGGCTAAAGCTCTTGTTTCAGTGGAGTCGCTCTGCCAGAGGGTATCCTCACAGTGCCTTGTCTTGTTTCTTTATTTATATTGTTAGCAGCTGTGCCTTTATTTCTTGTCGCCCAGCAATTCCCATTGCTTTGAAATGGTGGGCAGTAATTAAGACTAAGAGCCACATATTGAATAACAAGGATAAGAAGGAACAACGAAGAGCTGCTTGTTCAGTGAGCACTGTCCAGCCTATGCATTGAACGAGACAGGTTCTGTTGCTTGGTTGGTTTTTTAACACCTAAAAAAAAATGAGGACTGTAATTGAGGACTGTAGTGTGCTAAGACACAGGCAGCATTAATTCTGGCGTTGCCTAACTTTTGAGTGTGACTTTGCGACCATAATGTTTGTAACATTGTGTAGTGTTGCCATGGGAGGTTTGTTCTATATAACATATATACATTGCTAATGTACTGAGGGATTTGTACCGCAGCCACTGTTATACTAGCACAGTGCCCATTAGAAATTATTTGAAGCAAGGGGTGGGGAACCTTTTGGGCTGGGGGCCACTGACCCACAGAAAAATCAGTCGGGGGCTGCACAAAATTGAGAAACAAAAAAGCCCCGGCCCCTCGATTGGGCTTCAATTGAGAAACAGGGAACACTCCCCACATTCCCATTGCACCCCAGGAGGGCCTAGGCTAGTAGGTTTTGTGTGCTCTAGCCCCACGAGGCGACTGTAGGGGGGCTGGAGGGTCAGCACAGGCTCCCCATTTCTGCTGTGTGTGGGGGGGGGGGGGGAAGAGTCCTGAGCCTCAGGGGCTGGATGCAGGCAAGCCAGGAGCCGCATCTGGCCCCCTGGCCTTAGGTTCTCCTCCCCAACCTATATAAAGTAAAAACCTGATCGTAAGAAATGCTTTGTGATGGAAGAATAAACAGGCTATGGAGAATTATTTTATTATAATATGTATTTAGAATTTGTCCAGCACAGTCTCTTTAGAAGAGATTTAAACTCTGAGCAGGCAGGAGTACTCACAGCCAAAAAAAAACAGGCACCAATACACAGGTTCGTACACAATTCTGCCCCTGTTCTGGGGACTGCTTTTATTCAACTTCCTCAATTACAAAGTCCTGGAGCAGAAACATACTTCAGAACTACACCAGTGCAAACATGGTCCCAGCTCCCTCTTAAATGGGCTAGTCCCCAGGACTTTCCACTGAAGGATTTGCTTCCCCCCCCCCCTTTCCCACTCCTTTGGCACTCAGACTTCCATATCAGCTGAATCAATGGGAGTAATGAGACCCATTTTGCCTTTTTGATTATGTAGGTCAGCAGAGGAACTCTGCTCTGAAACATGTTCTTTCGTAAGGATGAGGACAAGGTATTGTAAGACAGAAAGATTTCCATGTACACACACACACACACACACACACACACACAGAGAGAGAGAGAGAGAGAGCATGGCCCTTCTGTCACAAGATTTCTGTGCTACAGAATATGACATTTCAGAATATCTAAGTTCACTTACTTTATAAAAGCCATGGTCTAAACCCTTAAAAATGAAGATTTTGAGAATCATCACATACATTCTACCGCATCAAAATGCAAAGACCAACGTATCCTCGTCAAGTCTTCTAATAACTTCCTCCCTCTGCTCTACACATATTCTCTACTCTAGTTCTCCCTCCCTTCCTCATCGCATGCACGCAGTATGAGAACATGCAGCATCCATCTCTCTCTGCCCAGAAGAAGGAGCTAGCCTGGTGGATAGCTTTTGGGGAAAATGTAGGCGCTATCTAAGCATTGTTAGTATGACAGGAGCTGGTTAAGAAGGAAGGTTTTGTTTTGCAGCATTTCTCCCCAGGCATGAACAAAGTGGAAAAAAAAACAAAAAACACACACATCAAAATGCTTCAAAGACTATTTCATGTTCTTTTGTCTGCCTTCCCAAGGGCACGGACAGTTTTGACACAGAACTCATGCTATAATGGGGATCCCTTGGGAAATCATGTCAAGTGTTTAATAGCCAGTGATCTCATAGTTATTCCTATGCTAAGGATATAGGATGGAAGCCTCCTAGGCAGCCTGAGGAATCACTTGACATGCTACAGCTCATATTCCACAATGGCTGAAACAAGTCCATGAAAGTTATGAAAGTTAACATTCTTCTGGAATCTCTCCTGTCTTCCATGATTTTCCAAAGATGATAGTTAAAGGCTCAGATACCACCTCTATCAGCTCCTGGAGTATTCTAGGATGCATTTAATCAGGACCTGGTGACTTGCAGACATCTAACTTTTCTAGGTGATTTTTAACTTATTTTTTTATTTTATCTTCTAAACCTACCCCCTTCCCACTAGCATTCACTGTTCGGCATTTCTTCATCAGACTTCTCGGTGCAGACTGAAACAAAGAAGTCATTGAGCATCTCTGCCATTTCCAAGTTTCCTGTTACTGCTTCTCCCTCCTCACTGAGCAGTGGGCCTACCCTGTCCTTGGTCTTCCTCTTGCTTTTAATGTATTTATAAAAGGTCTTCTTGTTTCCCTTTATGCCTGTAGCTAGTTTGATCTCATTTTGTGCCTTTGCCTTTCTAATCTTGCCCCTGCATTCCCGTGTTGCTTGCCTATATTCATCCTTTGTTAGTTGTCCTAGTTTCCATTTTTTATATGACTCCTTTTTTATTTTGAGATCGTGCAAGATCTCCTTGTTAAGCCAAGCTTTCCTTAAAGCTTCATCCGAAGGCTATTGAGATCAGTTTAAAGACTCCCGTGGCCTTCACTGCACTTTGAATCAGATCCTTAGAGCTGGTTTAAAAAACAAAAATCTTTCCAGAATTCCAAGTTTTGTGGAATTTGAAAGGAGCCCGGTTACGCAAAATGAAACGCATGCCTTTTGCAATTGTCCACCTTCTGACTGCTCAGAGTTTCGCTTCAGGCGCGCCTATACAGAAACACGGTGTGGAGTATGGGATATGAATTGTAGAGCGGACTAACATGCTCTAATTGCTCTATGTAGATCCTGCTTCTGCCAAATAAAAGGTGCTTAGTTTGCGTTGATGTTACATGAATGAAAGCAATGTTACATGCTTTAGTTCAGCGATGGGCAATCTACTGTAGTGAGTGGGCCACATAAGTAGCCCTCCTTCATCTCAGTGGTCTCTAAAACCGTTGTAATCAAGATGGTCTCCTGGGATAGGGCAGTTTAACTAACTGCACTTGCATACCTAGTATTTGCGGGGTGTGCCAACTGAACTGTAGCAGCACTTGTATCCATGTGCTCTCTCTCTCTCTCTCTGCATCCAGTGTTGTGTGCAATCAGCACACACCTCACGTCATGCACTCTTGCTTTATGTACATGTCACTTTAGTAATACCAGTAGGAAAAAAATTACACAGATGGAAACCAGAAGAATCTCACAACCCTTCATATGGGCAAGGGTAAACGATAGAACCCCTCGGGCCACATTGTGGTGGGCAGAATCCACACGGGGCTGTTAGCACTAAACGAGTCAGCATGCTTACAGTTCACACCCCGTGGTCTGCGACACGCTGTCCCGTAAACAAGCACTTACATTCTTTCTCATGACCAGAGTTTTTCATGAAAGTTTCCTCTGCTTAAGAAAGAGCCATGTTTTGCTTCAGGGGATGTGGGGGCGGGGACAGATTTTGTTAAGAAAAAATTTGTATTATGCTAGCATCCAGAGCTTCCCCTAGATTTGAGATCTGGCACATGAATGCATGGATCATACCACAGATCCCTGAAGCACATGGATCTGATCACTTCTTTTCTTCCCACATGGGCACCTCCATAGCCCCACGCCTTCTCTTGTTTTGGGCAAAGTTTTGAAAAGTACCAAAACTTTCAAGTTGTTTAAGTACCAGTCTACACTGCAAACGTTCTAGTTTAAAGCACTATAATTGTACCACTATAACTTCCCTCTGTGGTTCGAATGGCTTTTTCAGTTTGGATTAAACTGCTTCCAAAGGCACAAAATCTCTTATACTGAAATAAGAGAGTGCATAAGGGGTCACACAGGTACAACACCAGTGCTTTAAATTCACACCTTATCTTATGCTGGTATAGCTTTCCTGTGTAGGCAAGTTCTCAGGCTCCTGTGTTCACTTGAATTTGCTGAATCCTGTATCTTCCTCTCCAGGCTCTGGCGCTGTCACGTCAAGAGACCCTGGAAAAGGAGTTGTTGCTTTATGAACCTGAATGCTAGGGGAGCACGTTAGTGTGGTCCTGTGCAGCCTTGCCTTTTGCACAGAAGTGATGCAGGGGTCGCAGAATTTGCTCCAAAAGCCCAAAGGAAAGGGACAAAAGCAAGGGGTTGTTAAGTAACAATCTTCACGCGTCCTCCTGCTTCCCTTTCCTTTGGCAGCCCCTGGACTCCCCTGGTGCACGGGTTGCAGCCGTCTTTCAAGAGGAAGAATAGGAGCCATTGTTAAATAGTGTTGCCATGGAGAAATAAACATTTCCAAGAAGTTTGTATCCCTCCCCATCTGTGTGCGCACACAGAGTTGAGTCTGAAGGGCCTTTCCTGTGTGAAGAGCAAAGGGAGGGCTGTTTCTACTCCAGGCCTGTTTTAGTATAGTAACCCTTAACCTGCCAGCTCTGCTGGGGGGTGGGGAGGGGTGGGTTAGAACATGCAAGAGATTCTGTTGGCCCAGAATCAGCTTAGAAAAGAGGAGCCGGGGGGTGGGGGGGAGATGATAGAGGTCTATAAAATCATCACTGGTGTGGAAAAAGTTAATAAGGAAAAATTATTTACTTATTGCCACAATATAAAAACTAGGGGTCACCATATGAAATTAATAGGCTTTAGGTCTAAAACAAACAAAAGGGTGTTTTTCTTCACTCAGCACGCAGTCAACCTGTGGAACTCCTTGTCAGAGGATGTGATGAAGGCTAGAACTTTAACACGGTTCAGAAAACAGCTAGATAGATTCATGGAGGTTAGGTCCAGGATGGGTAGTTATGGGGTCCCTAGCCTCTGTTTGTCTGGAAATGGGTGACAGGAGAGGGATCATGTGAGGATTACCTGTTGTGTTCCCTCCTTCTGGGGCATTTGGTATTGGTCACTGTCAGCACACAGGATACTGGGCTGGATGGACCATTGGTCTGACCCAGTCTGGCCATTTTTATGTTCACAGACATGCTTTGAATTAAAAAATTCTTAAGTCCTAGCTCAAATGGTTCATTACAAATGGATGAACTGCTATTTCGTTATAATCTGGATCTGGACCAGTTTTCATTCAGAGATGTTAAGTTTGGCTTGATGCTCCTGTTCTTATTTTAACAATTTTTAAAAATATGAGCAAATAAGATGTTTAACTTCATAAATGAGGAGGCTTTAGTTAAGTAGTTGCACAGATTTACACTGTGACTGTGAATTAACAGCTTCCATCAATAGATGCGCAAGATCGGTGGTGCTCAACCTTTTTTAATTCGCGACCCCCAAGGCTGGGAAAATTTTGGTTGAGCACCGGGAACATTTTGTTGTGGCCCCTTTAATTTAAAGTTCACTCCCCTGCTACTCTCCCCACTGCGCATATGTGGCTGAGAGAGATGATGTGGGATAATATATAAACCAGCAGCTAGGGTTTTATCACACTAGCTCCTGGTTTCAGGTTTAAAAAATGCAGAACTTTGCATCATTTTAGACCTTATGATACACACTTGTTTTCTGGGCCTGTCATTTTGTACAATTTGTATTAATATCTAATAATGATAGACATCAGCTTATTATAGTGGATCATAAATTGAATATGAGCCAACAATGGATGGGGGTGCAAAAGAAAAGGTTAATGTCATTCTGAGGTGAGCTCACTAGTGTCAGATCTAAGATGTGAGAGGTGATTATCTCGCTCTGCTTGGCACTGGTGAGGCCTCAGCAGGAGTTCTGTGTCTGGTTTTGGGTGCCAAAAGACATGGACAAATTGCAGAGAGTCCAGAGTTGAGCAAGGAAATGGATAAAAGATTTTGAACTCCTGACTTTGAGAAAAGGTTAAAAATACTGAGCGTATTTATAGAATACCTGTATCTGCACAAATGATCCGTGGATAGCCACAAATTTGCAAAGCTCTACATGTTGTTCAGTATTGAGCAAAGAAGACTGAAGGGGGGACTTTAAGTGGTGGTATGTGGGGGAAACTGATCCATTGTTCTCCATGTCTACAGATCGTGGGACAAGAAGTAATGAGCTTATTAAGAAGCAAGGGAGACTTAAGCTACTAGGAAAAAGTCTCTAGCTAAAAGGGTAGCTGAGTACTGCAACAGGATACCCAAAGATTCCCGTCACCGGAGGCTGCCTAAGGGTATGTCTACACTAGCCCCTAGTTCAAACTAGGGAGGCTAATGGAGACATTCGAAGTTGCAAATCAAGCCTGGGATTTAAATATCCCGCGCTTGATTTGCATCTTCCTGGCCAGTCGCTATTTTTTTTTTTTTAATTTACAAGTCTGGACTAACTGCCCATGTTTACATGCGGCAGGGACCTGGGATTTCGAATTAAAGCCCCTAAATCAAACTGCCTGTTAAACCTCCTTGCAGGAGGAATAACAGGTAGTTCAAACTAGGGCTTTAATTCGAACTACCAGGTCCCTGCTGCCTGTCGATGCGGGCAGTTAGTCCGGACTTGTAAATTTCAAAAATGGCGACCGGCCGGGAAGATGCAAATCAAGCGCGGGATATTTAAATCCCAGGCTTGATTTGCAACTTCGAATGCCTACATTAGCCTCCCTAGTTTGAACTAGGGGCTAGTGTAGACATACCCTTAGGAACAAGTTGCATAAACACCTTTTAGGGAGGATCTAGGTTTACTGGGTCCTGCCTCAGTGAAGGATAAAGATGAAGTAGATGGCCTCTTTTGGGCTTTGTATTGTGGTAGTGCCTAATAGCCCCACTCATGGATCAGGACCACTCTGGCCTGGGTGGGGTGCAAACACAGAACAAGGGTCAGGTCCCTCCCTTACAGAGCTGAACATCCCAGTACTAATGATACATGTTTCTCCAGTGGTATCTTTTTTTACACACATGAGTCTCGGATTTTAAAGCCATTCTTGCTCTGATTTCAGAAGTCCAAGACTTAAAACCCCAACAAGAGGAAACACCACAGTTGATGCGGACCCGAAGCGATGTGGGAGTCCGTCGCAGGGGGAATTTCCGTACTCCAAGTGAACAGCGGCGGATCAAACGGCACCGGTTTTCTATCAACGGGCATTTCTACAATCACAAAGTAAGGTCCCAGTGACCAGACAGATCATTTCGTAGCCTCTGAAGTGCTATAAAATTACTTGAATATTATATGGCAGAAAAACATGTCCATAGTGTGGTCTTCCTTTTGAGGTGGATCCTCAAAATCCAGCTATGAACAGTAAGCCTGGGATCATTTGAATTCCTCAAAATAGGATTTAAGTTCCTCTAGATCATGGGCAAAAGAAAGCATTTGAGGGAATTTTGAGGGGGGCGGGAAAGTGTTTGAGGAAAATTACTGATGCACGTTTTGGTTGCCATGATCTAAATTCTTTGTGTTTTTTCTATCCCTAGACATCTGTGTTCACACCAGCCTATGGCTCAGTCACTAATGTCAGGATAAACAGCACAATGACCACTCCTCAAGTTCTCAAACTGCTGCTCAATAAATTTAAGGCAAGTTTTATCCCAGTTTATGCACTTCATTAAACCTTCTTATTGAACTAATATCTTTTGAGCTGCTTTTTCAGTTCAACGGGGTCTTCTGTATCAAAGAATCCCATGGAACTGCTTGGTTCAGACCATGCAAAGTCAGAAATGAGCCATTGCTTGGAGAAAGTGTTTCTTGTGCCTAAAGCAGAGATGGAATAGAGCCTTGCATGGATATAAAATTTGTATCTGAATCTGTATCCACAAAAATGAACCATGGATACCCTCATCCAGTGCTTTTTTTTGGTAAGAAAAAAGGTATTCTTGGACAAACGTGTTGAGCAAAAAAAAAAAAACAAAACCCACTGGGAGCCAAAATGCAGTTGCAGCCCCTTTAAGAGCCACAGCACCATGCTGGGAGCCAGAAAAAAAAAACGCTGTGCATCCCAAGCAAGTTTCCTGGCCAGTCGCTATTTTTTTTTTTTTTTTAATTTACAAGTCCGGACTAACTGCCCATGTTTACATGCGGCGGGGACCTGGGATTTCGAGGATAACAGGTGCCAGTATGCGCAGGGGAAATCCCATTCCTTTTCTGTGGTCTGGGAAAATAGGTGACTGTACACTGTTCCGGGCAGTACTGTCACAAAAAAAGCACACCCCGCATCCACATCTGTGGATGCTGATTGCCAGTGGATATCCACAGATGTGGCTTCTGCTTCCCGCTTTGAGAGAGATTCTGTCTAGAGCAAACAGCCTAGTGAACAGGGCACTGGAGGGGGAGTCTGTTTCCAGATCTGTTACTGAGTGGCTTGTGTGACTTGATTAAAGTCGCTTTCCCTGTCTGTGTTTCTTGTTTCATCTTGCATGTTTAGTCTGCCAAGACTGTAACCTCGTTATATGTACACACAGCACCAAGTACCATGGGGCCCTGCTTGCCAGGTGCCACCATAATCAAGCTAAAGGAATACTAGGCTCTATTCCTAGTGGTAACTGATCTTTTTTTTAATCCCTCTATTAAATTACTGGAATTCCTGCCTGCAGCCAAAAGCGTTTTGTGGAGAATTCTCTTCTCAAGTACTTGCAAGTCCTCATTGCACTTCCATGGCACTTTGCATCCATGTTTTTTGAAAAAAGAAACAATCTAGCTGTATTTTGATACTTTGCCTTTTTATCTTCCCATGTTCAGATTGAAAACTCTGCTGAAGAATTTGCATTGTATATTGTCCACACCAGTGGAGGTAAAATTGGAAGCTGTAATGGGTTAGAGTAACTTGGCTTAAATGGCATCTTCTGCTATGTACCTTTTAAGGCAGTGGTTCTCAATCAGGGATAAGTGCATCCTTGGGGGTATGCAGAGGTCTTCCAGGAGGGTAAATAACGTGATCTAGATATATGCCTTATTTTATAGCAGGCTATGTAAAAAGCACTAGTACAGTCAGTACAAACTAAAAATTCAAACAATTACTTGTTTATATTGCGCTATATAGTATACTTACATTCAGAGTATAATATTTATATTTCAATTGATTTTATAATGGTATGGTAAAAAGTGAAAAGTAAGCAATTTTTCACTAATGGTGTGCTGGTATATTTTGTGTAATTGTCTGATTTTGTATGCAAATAGCTATTAAGTGAAGTGAAACCTGGGGGTAAGCAAGACAGATCAGACCCCTGAAAGGGTTACAGTAGTCTGGAGAGGTTGCAAGCCACTGCTTTAAGGAATACAGGCAGTCCCCGGGTTACGTACAAGATAGGGACTGTAGGTTTGTTCTTAAGTTGAATTTGTATGTAAGTCGGAACTGGTACATATTGTAGGGGAAACTCTAGCAAACATTTCTCCAGAGCTCAGTTTTATTCTCCCACACCTCACTTCCCTCAGTCCTTTATTCTCAAGCTGAGGTGTCTGCTGAGAACAGCCGCTCCGGGTCTCCCTGGTCTGCTGGGGGAGGCGCTAGCTTCGCGTCTCCATGGTCTGCTGGGGGGAAGCAGCTAGTGCGGGGTTGCCTCGCCCCGTTTGTAAGTAGGGATCTGATGTAAGTCGGATCCATGTAACCCTGCCTGTACTGCTAAGATTAAAACATTGTCCCTATAGTCTGCTTTGTCCCTGTAGTCTGTTTTCTAATTGCTGTCCTTATAATGTCCTTTGCAGAAAAACAGAAATTGAAGGCTACAGATTATCCACTGATTGCTCGAATTCTGCAGGGGCCATGTGAACAGGTTTCTAAGGTTTTCCTGATGGAGAAGGACCAAGTTGAAGAAGTCACCTATGATGTGAGTGTCTTTGAGTGGTATGTCATAGGCTGTTAAGCTTTTGGAGCTTGTATGAAGGTGCAGAATTCTTCTGCTAACTCATCCTGGTGGACAGGTAAAGTGAGTCAAGAATATAAAAGCCAGGAGAGTCCCTTCTGAAAGGAGGGACAGGCTATCTTTCAGGAAAAGACATAAAACAGCTAGCTTGGATCAGAGGGCGTATGTTACTGAGTACAGTTCTGCTTCAGGGCAATGCTATTTAAATAAGTTGAGTTCACTTATCAGCACCCCATCTTTACCCAGTCCTTCAGTGACTGGACTTTACAGGGAATGTTTCGAGGAAACACTTTGTCGCAAAATGCACATTCCTTGGAATCGGGTCAACAGAAAAAGATCAACATTTGATAAGTTTCCCATGCTGGAATTTTTTTTGAAAAGTTTCAAAATTGCTGAAAATGTCCCATTTTGACTTTTTTTTAAATGAAAAAGCTTTGTGTTTAGTTTAAAAGAGTTGTTTAAAATTGACAAAGTAACACAAATATTGTAAAAATACAGGCTGAAAACCAATGTTTTTTAAGTATAACCTTTTGACCCAACCAAAGAGGGTTTTGCGGGTGGGTGTTTTTTTTGGGGGGGGTAGGGGGTGGTTTCAGTTTATGGAAAGATTTTGAGGCTTAAACTACTTATCCTTGTTCAGGATTGGAAAATTTCTCAACATTAGGTTCTTGCAAAATATGAAAATAACTTACTGTTTAGTTTTGTTGTGATGGTAAATACAGGCACTCTTTGGATTCATAAGTCACCAGGATCTCCTGGTTTTGCCACTGACAGTCACCTACCCTAGTTTATAGCATTGAGAGCCAGATCGTAGTATTAGATTATAGCTCTTGTGATCAACCTCTCATTTCTAACATGTCCCTTGACATAACCTATTGTTTCCGAGGAGCAAAGTTAATGCTCCTTTCTGCCATCTGGTGGGTAATAGAGTGTAATCCTATTGCAATCCTGTTTTCTCCTCATGTTAACTCCAGCAAGTAGGACAATCAGCAGAGTTCAGGGTAGAGCGAACATTATGATGTTTTGCATCTGATATTTTATATCGATTGGTGGAACTTAGCAGGATTGACTCCCTCAGACAGGCATACATGAGGATCAGCATACATACAAGAATTCACTCCAGAGCTGAAGCCAGCTTGTAAAGTCAAAAGAATTAGAGGAGGTTTCTTCACTAACCCATTTACAGTGATTTATATTAGCAGGAAGTCAATGGTATTGATATAATAGACATCTTCATTTACAGTTACAGGGATCTCTTCAGCTCTGTTACACCAGCGTTACACCAAAATGACAGTGGTGTAAGTTAAAGCAGAATATTGACCCTTACAGTTCAGAGCAAACAGGAATTTCTGTTTTGTCTTTAGCTTCAGTTATTGTTGAAAAAATGTGTCTAATCTCATTTAAGATACTGGCCATTGTTTGCCTAGATTTCCTCTTGTATCGTACTCTAAGATCATTTTGTGGCCAGCAAAGACCCTTCAGTCATGTCAGTGGTTTCCCAACACTTGTGTTTCCTGCCTTTCCTGCAAATACATGAACAGTTAGTGCATCGGATTCCACTGTATAAAATGGAAGGAATCTCAAATCACAAGGCAGCATCATGTGAAATGAGTATAGTGACGATGGTTTACAGTAAGACGCGGGAGATGCACTGATAAGTAATGGTGGTTCCTGGCTGCAGCAGTTGGCAAGTGATGTATTGCCTGAACAGTTACATTAGGGGCGTGTGATTTGCTTGCTTCGGATGGGGCTTTCTGAAGATACTCCAAGTTGGCCTAACTCTCCTGTACTGAAGTCACTGGAAATATGATCTGTTGCAAGGCCAATCAGTCTCTGTGCACAGGGCCAGCACAACAGCTAGATGCCACTTAAGTTCTGCTTTTTGATGGCTTAATTGATAGCCTTGTGCTTGCTCTCACTGCATCAAAGGGCAGGGAAGATTTCACCATCCATGTCTCAGTTTATGAACCTTGAACTTGGGAAATGCTGCTCCATTGGGTGGTGTGAATATCCTGGGTGGTCAGTAATGGGTACGCAAGGGAAGGCACAGCCTTCCCAAAACTGCCTACATAACTGACTGCCGCTGGGGAAGGCAGCCCAGCTCAGCAGTCTGGCCACCGGAGCAAGGAGGGGACCACAGTAAGGAACACCGCTTTCCCCAGCTGCTGGGAAAGGCCAGGCAAGGGCATCATAGTAGCTCTGGCTTTCCACGTGGCCAAGCAGGTGTGGGTTGGGGAGTGGGGCTTGGCTCCAGGGGTGGGGCCTTGAGCAGAAGGAGTGGGGCTCGGTCTTGCCTTCCCCAGCTGGTCTTTCACCTGATGCCCGTGGGGAGAGTTAACCATTCTTTTCAGATCTGCAGATAACGGGAATTTGTTTTGTATTGCACTGTCCATTGTGTGTTCTTACAATGCAGGTGGCTCAATACATCAAGTTTGAAATGCCAGTTCTTAAAAGCTTCATCCAGAAGCTCCAAGAAGAAGAAGATCGTGAAGTGAACAAACTCATGCACAAGTAAGTTCTCTTTTCTCAACCTAAAATAGTCCTGTGGGCTTCTTCCACTAAGGCAGGGGTGGGCAAAAGCCTCTTACGCGGGCCGGATCCAGCCTACCTTGGGCTTTGATCAGGCCCATGAAGCAAGTCCAGGCCCTGCCCCCTAATCGTCTGGAGAGGAGGCAGCAATGGAACTGAGGCTCCTCATCAGGGCCAGCCCTGGAGACACTGGCCTGCTCCTGCATCCCATCTCCCTCCATGGCCAGGTGGCCTAGGGCCAGTTGTGTCTCTGGCCTCCAGGACTGTGTAGCCATGGCAGCAGGGCTTCCCTCCAGAGTGGCCGGGACAGCGTGGCTGCAGCTGTTGCAGCAAGGGGGCATGAAGCCAGGTAAGGTTCCCCCTCATGCCTCTCTCCCCCCCCCCCCCCGCCAAGACCCAGCACCCTCAGCTTGCTCTGGCACCCTCCCTTGTTCCTGCTCCCTCCACCTGGCCAGACACCCTACTGCCAGCCTGCTCCTGCACCCCATCTCCCTACCAGATCCTGCACCCCATCCCTATCATACTTGATGGCAGCCCTGTCTCATGCACTTTACCCCCTCATTTTTGTCCCTACTCCAGAGCCTAAGGAGGTCCATAAAATCCACTAACTCTAGAACCCCAGAAAAGTAAATCTGGTCTATGGGAAGCCCTGAAACCTCAGTTCCCTCCTTCCCATCCCCTCACCCCATGAGGCTGGGGCACCAGAGGAGTGAAGTGTCTCACTTAGGGCCACATCAGTGAGTCTGGAGGAGTGTTTTTGTTTCTCACTTATGTGGCCTCCATCTCATTCTTTTGTGGGTCAGTGACCCCCTACCCCAAAAGGGTTCCCCATCCCTGACACAAACAAAGAAAACATTGAAACCTTTTGTGTTGGACATACTATTTTACTTTATTTAAAATGAAGTTTGATAACTTTCTTGTGTTAATTTAAAACACTTAATCTGTTTCATAATTTAAATTAAACTGTTCTTACTAGCTGCAGCTGGTTCAGAAAATAAGGTCACCGTACCCAGAGGGGTAGTTCTCAACCCGCCCCTTCCGCCCGAGGTCCCACCCCTTCCAGGTTGGCCCGCTGCCACTTCAGAAATTTGTGAAGTGGCCCCCCTTCCAAAATTACTGCCCACCCATGCAGTAAGGCCTTAGACCAAGATTTATCACAAGCAAGTGCTTAAAGATAGGCTCCTAATGTCATGCTTGGGATGTGGGTTGTCAGGCCTGCTAGTTAGAGCAGGGAGGTCAAGCATGGGCTCAGACTCAGAAACCAGAAGTCAAGTGGAAGGGCAGAGTCAGGATTCCAGTTGGAATTCATAGCTGTGCTCTGACTGATGCAGCTGCATCGACTTAAGCAGTAGTGTAGACCAGCCTGAAGTGTGGAGGATGGATTCTAGGCTGTTTGTGCACAGTCCAGCTGGGTCGCTTGTGGGACACCACCGGTGCCAGAATGAGGACACAAGTGCTCCCTGAGAACTGGGCCCATCGTGATTTGCAGTGGGAATCGTCCGCAGCTTTGTTTGTTGCAGAGATGAAGATGATCCATTTCTGGCAGGATTTCAACTGAAGGCATCATTTGTGCATGTCCCATAATAATGTAGGGTGGGTGTCAGTGTTCCCTGAAGCTGTGCACTTGGGTGTTCACCCAGGGGAGATTCAAGTGCTGCCCAACTGATTAGCAGAGCACCAACAGGTGGCAGCAAGTGTTTCTGCTAGTGGTGTACATCTGCACACGCATCAGCAAAATTTAGTAAAACGTATTGTGCACATGGGTGGAAAAATGAAAGGGAACATTGGTGGGTGTAGGGCAAAATGTTCTGTCTCGTATTTTCATATTGTGACTAAATGTGCCAGCTAAGTCGTGCTAAGAATCTTTGGCAAGTTCAAACTTCCTTGTTTTCAACAGTTAAATAGATGGGACTTAGAGATGTCTCGCGTTAGACATGGAGCTGATAGCCATTAATGGACCTTACCTCCGTGAATTTATCTAGCTTTTTTTTCAAACTCTTCATAGTCTTTGTACAACCGGGGCAGGTTGTTAGAGATAGAATGCCCTTGAGAAGCCAGTTTGCATTAATCTGCTCCCTTATCCTGTCAGAGCTTAAGTTCAAAGATCTTAAGGGCCTACTGGAAAGCTTGTAGAAATTAATTTCCCTTTAGGGAAGGAGTTATATATTGTCAAGGGATCTAGCTTTTGAGAGCCAACAAGTCTAACAAGAGTTGTTCCCTCTCTCTGTCTCTCTCTGTCTCTCTTTTAGATACACAGTCCTCCGGTTAATGATTGAACAAAGACTAGAAGAGATTTCTGAGAGCCCAGCAATGATCTAAGTTCTTCTCAGTGCTGTGCTGCAAGCTTGTCTCTGACAGGTCTTTTGAAGAATAAATGTTTACAGAAAGAACAGAATGAACAGGTGCACTCCATCTTGGGAGCCAAACCTGAATGCAAAACCTTGCCGAGACTTGAACTGCTTTGTTGTGACCTGTACCCGCTCAGCAGGTGTGGATGTGTAGGAGTCAATGATCTCCTTCTGCAGAAGGAAAATCTTTGTCATTTTTCTTTCCCTCCTCTCTAAGGAAATGATTTTCAGAATGCAAGGGTTCATAGGAGTGTATAAAAAAACAAAAAAACCCACACTTCATCAGAAGCCATTTTACACCTGCCATGCACAGGCGCGTTCCTCTGGTTGGCACACTGAAAGGAGGCTTTGGGGATTTGCCCATCAAGGCTGGTGTGCCATGGCAGCATGCTTTGACCTGCAGCCTCTACACTGAAGAAGCAGCTGCTTTAGGAGGTGGATCATGCCCCTTTGTTTCTCACTTTGCCCCATTCAGCAATACTTATCCGTGCTTCAGCACTGCCGTTAGTATGCGAAATTTCCATGTCTGGATACAAAAGACAAAACAAAACTCCTGTTCCCTGAAGCCAGTGAACCAGCTTGTGCTATGCCAGCACATCCAGGCTATGTCTACACTGCCCCATGAATGAAAAACTTGTCATTCCCAGGGGATTAAAGTCCCCTCCCTGAAAGACCAAAATTTTGCCGCAGCAAGTGGCAGTTGAATGGCTCATTGTTGGCAGAAGCGCACTCCTGCCGACAACACAAATCTTGCTCGTAGGAGATGGAAGTATTTTGTTGGCAAAAGTGCTGACAAACAGCATCTGTGCTGCCATATCAACATGGTCATGTCACTAAAGCAGTGTAGTGTGGACAAAGCCTTAGAAAGTACTAGTCTGCATCAATGTTCCAGACCCAGTGCTATTAGCCACTTGATTGCTGCCAACCTCAGCTGGTGCCAGCATGTAATGTTTTATGAAGTATGTTCCGTGAAGCTTTTTCCCTCGTGCAGGATGCTCTTCCGTTCATTTTTCCTGTTCAGAGTGTTCTCCGAGTGCGCCGACAACCGAGAGACCAGCATTTTCCCCCGCATAGTACAGATGGGAGGTCAATCTTGTTCCCCTCACTTGGCCCTTCCTGCCTCATACACTCACTGCCAGTGCATGCTTTCTGTGCACCCGCACGTGGCCTCTGGTCTCCCCCAGTGTATTGCCATGGGCTTGAGGCATGGGGCCAGAGTGGCACGTTGAGGACTATTCCACGGAGTGTTGGCATGTGAGAAGATGCAAGCTGTGCTCTCCTGTCTGGTGCTTGGCTCCTCGCTTTCATCTGTGGGTCCCTGAGGGTGTGTCTGTGCTGCAGCTAGCGGTGTAATTCCCGGCTTGGGGAGATGCGCACATACTAGGTTCGACTGAGCTAGATGCCAACGATAGCAGCATTGGTACAGCAGCACTGGAAGCAGGGGACACTAGCTCCTGAAGTAGAATCCCATCCAAGGCTCTAGGGCAATATTTGGGCAGTTGGCTTGTGCCACAGTTGCTACACCTTGATATTTAGCACGCTGGCCTGAGCTGGAAATCACAGCAACTCTTCCCAAAGTGAGGAGACTGAGGAATGAGCAGGAAGGGGAGGCCCTAGAGGACTGATGGGAGACCAACAATAGCTGGAAAAAAAGAGCGGCACTTTCCTCAGTTGGGAGCCTTGACAACCTTGTCCTCCAACATAGATGCTGGCACAAAATCTCATAGGAGGACTCCTGCAATGGGGACGTGTTCTGGAAGTCATTAAAGTTACAACAGTTGGTGATTTGGGCTGCTCTGTCCTTCAGAGCTTGGAGTCTGTTGGTCGTGGTGTGGAGTTGGGAGTGGGGGAGAGGAATGTTCATTCGCTACCTTCTACAATGAGGCTTGTGGGGTGGGTCTGGTCCTGTGTGGTGCTGAGCTCTCTCTATATGTAATAGGCCTGATTTTTCCCCTCTCTGTAAATCAGGAGTAACTCTGATGTCAGTGGAGCCTTGTTTTAGTAACTGAGTTGGTAGCTTTGAGATATGGCAGGGAGGGGTCTGATATGGTGGTTCCCAACCTTTTTTTATGCCTCAGACCGACAAACCTATTCACAAATGTTTGGCAGATCGGTAACATTTATTTACACAGTCATTATGAACAGGGCTCACTGAACCGTGGTGAGCCCCGCTCGCCAGCCATGCTATCCGGCGATCTGCGCATGCCAGAACCCGGCTCTTCCGGGTTACAATCTACTCGCCACGGGCGATCAGACTGTATAATTTGTCGAGCCCTGATTATGAATATGCTAATATGCAAATAAAATGTTATCGGTCTGCATAGCCCCAATCCAGTCCCTTGCTCCCCAGTGCCTAACACCCTTCGACCCCTCTACTCCTATGCCCCATGCCCTTTGCCCCTTTAACCTCTGACCCCTATAGCCCATGCCAAAGTCCTGTTGACCCATAACCCCACCATGACCCCACCCCACCCCCGTACTCACCAGAACAAGGCTGCCTCTTCTAGGTAGCGCGGCCATTATGGCAGGGAAATTGGCCTTCCTCCCTCCCCAGATGCATCTTGCGCCCTGGGATGGGAGGTGGAGGAGGAGGGAGGGAGGCTCCTGCTCTGCCTCCTGCTGCTGCCGGCAAAAGCAGCTGCACAAGCTGTGGGGGGCACGGGAGAGCCATAGAAAGGCGCCTCATGCTTCATCTTATCCCCCCTGCCGCCACTGGCAAAAGCTGCTGTGGAGGGGGAAGCAGAGCCCTGGAGCGGCTCCCTGTTCTGCTGCCTCCTGCCGCCAGCAGCAAGAGCAGCCATGTGGGCCATTGGTGGTGTGCGCACCTCCCTCTTTCTTCGCAGCCCTCCCTCCACAAGCACGGAGGGAGGTGCCACCTTCTGCTGCCGCATGAGCTACCATGGCTGCTGGAGATGAGCGGCCGGGAACAGCCGGCTTGAGCTCTGACAGCTGCTGCGGCCCAGCAGCTGGGAGCTGCTGGTAAGATACACAGGAGATCAGACTAAATGGTCTGACCTTAAACTCTGTGATGCTGTGACCTGTCTAGAAATGGTATAAAGAGGCAAATTGGTGAGTGCTTTGCTGAGCTAAGCACCTTGCAAGATCAGACTGTCAAAGTCAGAAGGGACTGGGTGTGTGTGTGAGTTACGTCTGTGAGAAACTCTCACGTAGTGGTCACAAGAAGTAAAGGAAGTTGAGATGTGGCAGCTCCATGTAGCTTGACATCAATTATTTGTCTGGATTCCCACGCATCTTCCAGAGGAATATTTTGAGATTGGGGGTGGGGGAGGGGATACCTTTTTTTCCAGAAGTGCCTCAGGGACTTAGGAGCTTCTAGTAAATGTGCCTTGGAACCAGTTGGAGGACAGACCTGTGATTTGCTTATACCTGCACTAGAAATTCTTGATCCGTAAACTCTTCCTCAAACAGGGGAAACAGACTCACTCCAGACTGTTGTCTGCCTAGGGCTATACCAGGCAATATCCCTGTTGCAGAATGAGTTGTATTGGAGCCGTTGATCAGCGTGTGACGGGCAGTTATTGGGATTTTAGAACCAGTTGGAGGACAGACCTGTGATTTGCTTATACCTGCACTAGAAATTCTTGATCCGTAAACTCTTCCTCAAACAGGGGAAACAGACTCACTCCAGACTGTTGTCTGCCTAGGGCTATACCAGGCAATATCCCTGTTGCAGAATGAGTTGTATTGGAGCCGTTGATCAGCGTGTGACGGGCAGTTATTGGGATTTTACGACACGGGGGGGGGGGGGAGCATGGAAATAGATCCTGATGTCTTAAAGTTAGCTGACTGCCTCTAAGCAACGTGTATGGTCCCCACAGGTTTGTTTGGGTTTTTGGATGATGGTGGTAATGCACAAAGGAGCTTGTAAGGCTCCCAGCTGGGGTGAAAATGGCATCCTTGCATTTGGCACAACAGGTAGCACTCTGTCTTACAGACTAGCAGGCCCTGGGTTCAAAGCATGATGTGGGATGGTGTGGGGTACTTACTCTCTGAATCTATCCTGGGCTTGGTCAGGCCTTCATATCTGCATTGGCAGAGCCTATAATAGGAAGTCTTGCTTTTAGATGATGGCCTCAAAGATTCATATAATGCTGGTCTTCAGTGAACAGAAACTGGCAGTGGGGCTAGCAGGCAGGCCCTAAACTTACTCTCCCATTCTCCTTGATGGTTTAGAACTAGGGCTGCGTATGAGCCTGTGGGGCTTTATTTCCTTTAAGATATGCAGTTGCTAGTATTTTCAGACCAACATTGAGCCCTAAGGTGTTATCTCATCCATATATGCCCTGGGGAAATAGCTACCAGCATGTCAATGGGAGCAAGTGACAAAGCTTGATACTGCTAAGGGGAAGGGTTTGTTTTAAATGGGGTTTGGGTACAACCATGTTTTCCTCCTTACTTTCTTTTTCTCTTGGGTTCATGGCTGGGGTGTGATCCACGTGGTATGGTTAGCTCCTGTCATGCACCCTCAGGAGGGTTATGAAAAGTAGGAGCCATGCTGAGTTCCAGAGGAGACTGGAGCACATCTATTGTTGGATTTATTCTGAATGTAGAATAGGCTTCCGTCTGTGGGCAAATAATTAGTAATATTTTAGAGCTTCTGAAGCAATAAGTGCTCAAACGATGTTCAGTGGGTAACAGTCCCAGTGGGAGAGAAGGGGCGTGGATGTCCCCGAGTCCTGGGATAAGGCACCTTTCACCTCTGGGTTGCCATCTTTTAAAGCTGATTCCGAAAAGCCTGAAGACTTGAACAGATGTGACTAATTTTTGGCTAAACTTTTGCAACTCCTCCCCCACGCCATTCTTTTGAGCAGTTCAAGTTAGTTTAGCTCTAAGGATGGAAGAGGCTGAGTGCTGTCCTAGGCTGCAGCTGTTGAGGGGGCCTATGGGAGACAATTACCCACTCTTGCTGGGAGACTTGGACGGGCTCTAGAGCTTGAACCCCGCTTCCTTGCTTGGAAGAGGGCAGCCCAGAGGTCTCAGTTTGAGGCACCTCGCCACAGCAGACTTAGGGAAGCCTCTACAGCTGCTGTTTATGCCATGTCTGTTTAAACAGGCTCCTAAGCACACGTTTGAGGTAGGGTGACCAGATAGCTAGCATGAAAAATCAGGATGGTACCGGGGCAGGGGGGAGAGGGGCAGGGAGTTATTTGGGACAAAGCTCCAAATATTGTGACTGTCCCTATAAAATCCGGACATCTGGGCACCCTAGCTTGGGGCCCACTTATCTCACCATTCCAGATGAAGCCAGTGTTTGGCACAACTGAGGCCTGTAGCATCTTTTCCTAGTGCTCAGTTCACACAGCGGCTGTGTCTACATTGGCCCCTATTCCGTAATAGGGATGCAAATGTAGCACTTTGGAATAGGCAAATCCGCGGGGGATTTAAATATCCCACACGGCATTTGCATTAACATGGCTGCCGCTTTTTTCCGGCTTGTAGGTAAGCCGGAGAAAAGCGCCAGTCTGGATGCGATCCTCCGGAAAATAAGCTCTTTTCCGGAGGATCTCTTATTCCTACTTGAAAGAGCTTATTTTCCGGAGGATCAAAAGCGGCAGCCATGTTAATGCAAATGCCGCGGGGGATATTTAAATCCCCCGCGGATTTGCCTATTCCAAAGTGCTACATTTGCATCCCTACTACGGAATAGGGGCCAATGTAGACACAGCCAGCCAGTATTGCGGCAACCTTGCCCACCTCCACGTGAATAAAGGCACTAACCAGTTACATGCAACAAAAATGACTCAATAAAAGCACATTTCTATTGTAAAGATTGAAAAGGGAGGGGAGACCTCTTAAGGTGGTTTCAATGACCTTGGAAAGAAATATTCTCCTTATCTCTGCTGAAATTAAAAGGAGTTGCTGTTGAGCATCCATTTGGCTTTTGATGGGAGAATTGCCTTTTCCACTTGTATCTGATCATGTCATCCCTGTTTTTCCTCTCCCCTGCCTCTCATTTGCACTAATTCTGTGGTGGATTAAAAGAGAAAAGGCTGTGAATCTGAGACACAACATGCCAAATATCTCCCAGGGAAGGTTTCCAAGAACGAGTTTCTCTTGGAAGACATTGTTAGAAAGAAACTCATGCCAGCACAATGACCCTATGAAGAGCTGCAACTCGAGGTTCCGGCAGTGTGGTTTGGGGAGGTCACTCCACACTTGTTCTGGGATCATGTAGCACAGGACCAACTCTTTGTGAATTCGATGGTGTCTCTCATTTTTGAGTCAATGTGTACATTTTTTGGTAATGAATAAGTCTAGGCTACTTTACCCTCGTATATAGGTAAATGTACTCAAACCTGTTTACTTTAGGGACTTGCACTCAGGCAAATTTTCTCCATTTTTAGATAGATGGCAATAAAGCCTAATGGTGCTTGCATCACTGCAGCTTTTTCCAGTACTAGCACCATTTTTTGCTGGTGCAGTATCTGGGGGTGAAAATTTGCTTACCTTAGACTAGCCATTACATTGCAAGGTTTCCCAGCAATGTATCTTCAATAATTGTTTCTACACTGGCCTTCCAAGCTCACTTTCCCTCTTCCCCACTTCCTTTTGCGCGTGCTTTTATTTGCGTTAGACAAGACCTGTCTGCAGCAGGGGAACGAATGAGGCAAGGGGGCATCCTTGCTACTATGGGAATGAGTAGCAATTGGGATTATGCCAATGACAGATGTGTAGAGATCGGGAAAGTGCTGGAACCATCTTCCCAACCCTCTCTGAACTTGAGAAATTCATACAAATATGACCCCAGATCCAAATCTAAAACTACTACTGGGTTTGCCTCCACATCCCTAAGCTGCAGTTTCTGAGCCTCAGTTACCACCTGCAACATCTGCTTTATCAATGACACAGGTAGAATCCTGCAAATGTGTAGACAGTCATGGATGCAGATGTCTGCAGCTCTTGTTTGTATCCACATCTGTAGCTGCAAATTTTGTATCTGTGCATGGCTCTAGTCATAGGTAGCACAGCTGTGTAAATCTCTCTTTTGGAGCTGAACTAGCAATATCTTTTTGTATGTGGTTAGTGCTAACTAAAATTTGTGGTGACTTTTTCTCCCTCATGAGTTTTGTAGTGTTACTTTCTAGGTTTTTTTAATGGTACCTTTTTTACAGATCTGTCTAGCACTTGTGTTTCTGAAAGTATTGTAAAACAACAAATGCCTTTTTATGTATTTTGACCGTGACATTGACAATGCCTCATTTATGAATGAGAAAAGCTCATGTAACAATTGAATACATTTTTAAAGCACACAAGTTAGATCCTTGTTGTTTATTAAATAAAGCACTTTGCGGATAGAAATGCTACTGAGATTGCCGAGTTTGTGCATTTGTTTCTGGGGGCTGGTGGTGAAAAGGAGACCGGACTAACTTGAACAATCACATGGTAAAGTGGGGGAAAGGTTTGACAGGCAACAGTAACTCAGGGTTGGAGCGTCAGTGGAGTTGCCTTACCCCAACTAAGCAGCTGGTGCATTATGCCTCAGGTAGGCTCATGGGAGCCGTCTTCCTCCTAGGCCAGAACGTTGGCCTATTCCATGGTGACATAC